TCCTCCACCTCCTCCACTACTTCCCCCGCCGCCCCCTCCACCACCCTTGCTCCCCTTGCCCTTGCTGTTGCAGCGTCTCCCACTAGGGGCAGACGCAGCTCCGACCTCCTCAGTGCCAACGAGGTTGACAGCAGCAGCAGAAGCAACAGAGGGAAGAAGGGGGACAGGGGAACACCCCTCAAAGAAGGGGGTGCGACGGTCGCCGCGAGAAGCACCTACAGCTAAGATACTCTTCTCAGCTGCAGCAAGGCGCTCCTCTAGCAGGTCGACAGTCAGCTCGGTGGGGCAAAGGGAGAGAAATTGGTCCCTGACTGAAGAAAGGGAGTCAGGGAGGCGGGTGACTAGGTAGTAAAGGGTGATGTACATGGGGGGGGGGGTTCTTGGCACAGAACTCAGTGGGAAGGGCAGCGCGGTAGCGGGCGTCACTAGTGCGAAGGTGAGCAACTAGGCCAGCGACTGTGGCAAAGGCGGCAAGGTCAAGGAAAAGGTACGGCAGCATGAGGCGGTTGAGGGCAGCAGTGGCAGGGGAGGAGTAGCGTGCAACTACAGCGTCGTACAAAGACTGAGCAGTCTTGTACTGGCCAAAATGCGCGCGCTCAGCAGGCGGCAGGTGACTACGAACAGCAAGACGAGCAACAGCGTCACGAGTGGTCCACTGCGAGCGAACCGTACTGTCAGCAGTGGCAGCAGGAGCAGTGGAAACACCGGACGTGTGATCGAAAAGGGATATCCCATCGCTAGAATCACACTGAAGAAAGAGCTGTAGGTCGTCAACCCACACGTCAAAGTCAACTGCACGTCCCTCAGCATCAAAGGTGAGAACGGTAGGACTAGCCGTAGCAGCAGTAGGAGCAGTAGCAAGAGTAGCAGCAGTAGCAGCAATAGCAGCAGTAGCAGCAGTAGTAGCAGAGGCAGTAGGGCAGTGCAAGGCAGTGCGGCTCGGTAGGGCAGTGCGGCTCGGCAGGGCGGCGCGGCTCGGCGGAGCGGCGCAGCTCGGCTGGGTGGCGCGGCTCGGCTGGGCTGCGCGGCTCAGCTGGGCGGCGCGGCTCGGCTTACCAGAGACGGGTGCAGGGGTGGGCCGTGACTGCAGGGGCTGCGCCAGTAGGGGGGGCGCGCCAGCAGGGGCCGCGCCAGCAGGGGCCGGCAGGGGCGCGTCAGCAGGGGCCGGCAGGGGCGCGTCAGCAGGGGCGCGTCAGCAGGGGCCGCCAGGGGCGCGTCAGCAGGGGCCGGCAGGGGCGCGCCAGCAGGGGCGCGTCTGCATGGGCCGGCAGGGGCGCGTCAGCAGGGGCACGTCAGCAGGGGCCGGCAGGGGCGCGTCAGCAGGGGCCGGCAGGGGCGCGCCAGTAGGGGCGCGTCAGCAGGGGCGCGCAGGGGCCGGCAGGGGCGCGCCAGCAGGGGCGCGTCAGCAGGGGCCGGAAGGGGCGCGCCAGCAGGGGCGCGTCAGTAGGGGCCGGCAGGGGCGCGTCAGCAGGGGCCGGCAGGGGCGCGCCAGCAGGGGCGCGTCAGTAGGGGCCGGCAGGGGCGCGTCAGCAGGGGCCGGCAGGGGCGCGCCAGAAGGGGCGCGTCAGCAGGGGCCGGCAGGGGCGCGTCAGCTGATGGGGGCCGCGACGGGCTAGGGGCCGCGGCGGGCTAGAGGCCGCGACGGGCTAAGGGCCGCGACAGGGAAGGCGCGATGCGCGCTTCGGGCAGGGCAGGAAAAAAAGAAGATCTAGTGGTGGGCCCTTAAAAAAACGTTCCCACTAGAGAACCTGCTCAGAATACCATGTTAGAATGTGAGCAAATGAATGACTGAACTAGAAAGCAGGTGGGTACATATAGGAAACTTAAAAGTGTTGTACCCTGTAAGGACTACCCCACTACAGCCTAAACAGACTATAGCATATAAGTTTGACACTCTCCTCCTTGCCAAACCTTTCAGGTGAATGTCACATTTCCCGGTTATGCAAACATGTTTGATGTGGCACTGACAGGCAGGATCGATAAGGAGGCGATGGCGCGACGGCTTCTTTCCCCGCGCGACACTGTTCCCATTCATGTTTACGATAGATGGATTGGGTGTTCATTCTGTGCTTTTTCGACTGTACGCCCTAGCATTTCCCTCTGGTGTCAGAATCCCAACCACTAGACCATTGGGATAAAAGGGCATGTTAAGTAGCGGGTCAGTGCGCCCATAACCCCCAAGGACAGCGAATCTGTAACCCTTCCCATGATCAATTGGGGATCACCAATGGACCTCTGACACCCCCCCGCACTGGGATGCCCGAAGTGCACACGCTGTGATTCGAACCCGAGACATTCGCTCTGATACCATGTCAGAATTACCAACCACTAGACTAGTGGGATAAAATGGCTTGTTAAGTAGCGGGTCAGTGCGCCCATAACCCCCCATGACAGCGAGCCTGTAACCCTTCCCTAGGATCAATCGGGGATTACCAGTGGATCTCTGACATCTGGTTCAAGATTCAAGACTCCCCTCCCTCCCTCCCTCCCTCCTCCCCTCCCTCCCTCCCTCCCTCCTTCCCTCCCTCCCTCCCTCCCTCCCTCCCTCCCTCCCTCGCTCCCTCCCTCCCTCCCTCCCTCGCTCCCTCCCTCCCTCCCTCCCTCCCTCCTTCCCTCCCTCCCTCCCTCCCTCCCTCCCTCCCTCCCTCCCTCCCTCATATGTAGCTGTCCCATTTGGTACAGGTATGCATTGGACCGAAGGTTTAATTATCCTGGCAGAAATTATTGTACCCATGAGAATAAACTCGTCGTTCTGTTTAGGATGGCATGTGACACCTCGAGGTCTACATTTATGCTATATCAATCAGATTGTAGATTTTTCAATAGCAGTAACAAGTATCGAGTTACGACAATTTTGGGAAACCCACGGTGTCAGATCTTCTTGGAAACTGGTGGTGGAGGCTCGCTCTCCTGAACTCTGGGTGTTCGCAGAATCGCACAACGACTGAATGCGACAGCTCAGGACTTTCTGGGCACAGAACAGCTCGTCTGGGTCACACCGACAGCGGAACTGCCCAATCAGCAAGATCGCGAACACATCATGAACGAACCCAAGCAAGGAGCACCCTCCGTCGATCTCTATGTGGAGTGGACTCTTCTTGGGTGACTCTACCTCCCACGACGACCAATATACCCCCCCAACACCCAGGGCCCAAGTACTGGCTGTCCTATCCAACCATCTCCCTGATTGAGGCTGTGAGGACTAACAAGCAGCAGTTCGCCGTCTTGCGTGAACCAAGGAGGATTCGTGAATCTCTGGACGACCTTTTGTTTTGCGCCTCGTTCACCCCCTACCAGAGTGTTCTATACTCGCTAGTCTTAGAAGTTTCGCTTGCTGCTACTGCGGTTTCGCCGTTCGTCCAGCTGAAGAGCACTGAGGGGAAGTTGCCTGGTTTTGCACAATCAGTCATGGCTGAGACTAAGCCCAAAGTTTTCACGTTAGAGGAGGTGTCGAAACACAACACGGAGAAGGATTGCTGGCTGATCGTGTCAGGCAAGGTGAAGTAACGATGATCAAAGTGGTTCCATGCTAGCCATTTTGGATCAAATCTGGATGATCTATTACAGAAGGCGTCCTTCGATTACTAAATCGGAGTTTCTCGTTGCACAGGTCTATGACGTGACTAAGTTTATGGATGATCATCCTGGCGGATCCGATGTTATGGTATCATCTACTGGTAAGCCCGACAACGTAGATGATGTTTGCAGACGGATCTTTTTTAGATTTCACCTAGTAAGGATGGCATAGTATGCTACTCTCTGAGAATTTTTGTTGTGCTCTTTTTCAGGCAAAGACGCTACCGATGATTTTGAGGACATTGGCCACAGTAAGACTGCCAGAGACATGCTCGCTCAATACTATGTTGGTGAGATTGACGAGTCAACGCTACCAGAGAAGCCGACTAGAAACGGAAGCAGTGGAGGAGGGAGTCAGGAGAGTACGTCAACGTTGAAGCTGTTGCTGCAGTTCTTAATACCCGTGCTTATGGTGGTGCTGGCTCTTGCGGTTAGATCCTACACACAGGTTCCCAAGGTCGAGAGCTAACTTGACATGATACTATGTCCAATAAAACCATTCTCGTCAATCGGTTGCTATGCGAAGGAGCCCTACTGTCGCGCTCATTATTCTATACAGTCCAGCTATGCCAGTTTTGAAGGACGTCCACGCATAAACATGCACTGCGCTTCTCAACACGCCCACGACCACGTCCACCTCCACCACTCCTCCTCCTCCCTCTCCTGTGCTCCGCCTTCGCCTCCTCTCCTCTTATCCTCCTTCACTCCCCCCCTCGTCCTCCTCCCCATCCCTCCCCCTCCCTCCCCCCCTCCATCTTTCTCTTCCCCTCCATCTTTCTCTCCCCCTGCTCCCCCTTTCCTCTCCCCCTCCTCCCTCTCTCCCCATCCTCCTCCCCTCCCCCTCCCCCTCCTCGGCCTCCCATCCCCGGCCCCTTACTCGCCCTCCTCTTCCCCGCCTTTCCCGCTCCTCGCCTCACCTCCCCCCATCCTCTCCCCCCTGCATTCACGTTTTTTTCAGGAGGAAGCGAATTAAAATTGGTGAAACATAGAATAATTAGGGTATGGCGGTACCGAGTTATAATTCGAGTGTTTCCTATTTTTTTTCACATTTTTGGAGTTTCGATACACCTCAACAGGGCTAGAGAAAGCCATTGCAGTGGGCCATTCCAGCACTAACCACCGGGAGTGAATGTAATGCTTACAACCGTATACTGCGCATGAAGAGACATCCCACTACCTGCAGCAGTACAGGCAGGGCTGACGTTTCACTTTAGGGCTCCCCTGATGTCGCTAATTTTTTCTTCCCTCGATTATGAGTGCACATTGTTCAGAAGATTGTCACCCTGATGGCTCAGGGTTCAACAACTAGTCACTCTGATGAGTCAGGGTCGACAGCCTGAATTCAGGGTTGTATTTCAAATTTTACTAGGGTGATTACTGCAATGTACAGCCTGTAACAAATTTCCTCCTACATCTACTCTATTCTAGTGCACAGGCCTATCGATGTGGAACACTTCCTCCACATCCTCATCGTCCGAAAGGAAGGGATTGTCCTCCTCCTCCTCCCCCACAAGCTCCTGATCGTCGCCCAGGGCCTGTTCCACATCCTCCTCCTCCTCCTCCTCCTCCTCCTCCTCCTTTTCGTCCTCCTCCCCATCGTTCTGGTGGGCAGCTCCTGCTTCGACTTCACCCTCCTTTGCTTTCCCCCTCCTTTCGCGATCAGCCACAGCAAGTTTCACGCTCTTTGCGGGGCGCCTCCTCCTCATAGACCTCCAGACCTCCAGGGCGTCCGGCCACTCGATGTCGTAATTCAGGAGCGAAATCTGCATCAGCTCCCCCAGCCGCGCGTTGCAGAGAGCGCCGCGCACCCAAGACTTGATAACATTTTGCCTCGAGAATCCTCTCTCGCACTCCACAGTTGACAGGGGGAGCACCGCGATCGCCTGCCACAGGAGGACGAGGTTGGGCCACCTCCTGCCAGGCACATTGTCGGAGATGGGTGGGAAACAGAGTGACCACATGCACAAAATACATTAGACTCCCGCATGGCATAGCATGCTGTCACACTATGGGGACATACCTCTTCGAGTCCGCGCTCCTGAGAATGTTGGTCAGTCCCTGCGTGAAGCTTTCCAGCTCGTGGACGATCTCGTACACCTTGTGACTCCGCTCCCACAGAAGAACGATACACGCACCGAGCACCTTGCACAGCCGTCGCACCGCATCTCCACGTGAGAGCCAGCGAACCGTGTGGATCCCCTGGACTTCGAGGTTAGTGTTGTAGATCACACGCTGCAGGTACTTGAACCGTTGGCTCCAGACTGAAGAATCTCCTAGTTTTGCCGCCACGGTGCGCACCACCTTGTCCACCATGCCGAGGTCGGGGTTGGACGTCGCCGCGTCCTTAACAGCCAGCGCCTCCCTGCAATAGACAACGTTAATAATTGTTAGAGTAGAAATCAGGCAAGCAACATGAACTGGATCAATAACTGGCACTAAATCTTACCGGTGCGCGATGCAGTGACAGGAAAAGAGATGCGGGGCGTGTCACGGATGCCTCTCGCAATCTTCAGCTGCCGGTCAACAGCCGCTTTGTGCGCGTCCGTGTGCTCGTGTACGCGAAACGCCTGCGTCTGCATGTCACGGCCTCCGTCATTACCCTGCCTCGCGTACCTCGTGTTCTCCTTCCCGTAGGCCATGCAGACACTGCACTTCACATAGGGAAACCCATCCTTGGTTTTTCCCAACACGAGCCAGGAGAACTGTCCCGACCACCTCGTATCGTACATGATGTTGGCCTCCAGGAACATTTGCTCTCGCAGCTGCGCCTTGGTGAGGGCGGGCGAGCCGGTGTCCGCGCGGATCGGGAACACATCTTCCTCTGGCGGTGCAGATGCAGGAGGTGGTGGATCAGCCGGAGTGTTCGAAGCAGAAAGTCTGCGGCCTCCGACGAGCAGGGTATGCTGCGCCCACTTCCCTGAACGCGCTCTCTTCGGTGTGGAGGTAGCCGACGGAGGACCAACGGACACACCAACGGTGCTTGGTGTGGGACTTGGCGCGGTCGGTTGGGGATCTTTGCTGCAAGAAGCAACAGCTGGGGGTATAGTGAAGGCGGCCTCCCGGGGAGACTCTTCAGGTGTGGCCGTGGGCGTGTCTTTAACTGCAGAATCATCCACGGTAGACCTAGGTGGATCCGGTGTTACTGGAGCAGCGGAACATCTAAGAAAATCAATCCCCGAGCGTGGCTCCGTGGCTTTCGGCGGTAACGGTGGCTCATCTGAGCCAGCCTGAGGCGTGTCCACGTCAGCCTGCTGGCCTTCCATGGCGGGGAGAAGCTAGAGATGGGGAGAGAGAGAAACGGAGAAAAGAATTGAAAAAAGGGAACACAACAGCAGCACCAACAAGACCCTGGCTGTGGGAGGGGCGAAGCAAGAGATGGAGGGAGAAGGTGGGGTCAGCAAGAATCCACCGCGTCGCCACGAAATTGATGGCGCGGTGGTCGAAACAACGAGCCGTCATTGTATTCGGCCTTTCATGCAGGCCGAATACATTGAACGACTGCTTCACTGCCAGCGACGACAGCCACTAACTGTCTCCCTCCAATGAGGGACACGTATTGTGATTTGCGCGGTGCGCGTGGCAGTATATATGATGCTTCTAGGTGCGCTGTCAAATTTGACAGCTGTGCTGTACATCGATGCTGTACAAAGGACAGTTGTGTTCTGTGTCGGTTCTTGTCACTAGTGCGCGTGAAACGAAGCCCCCACACGGTTAGGTGCGAAATCATAATTACCCACATGGGGGGGTATCGGAACGAAGCTTCTACGAAGCTTCGTTCAGATAACATCACTTTCAGGGTCCACAGGTCGCGTACTCTGTATTGACAGGGTCCACGAAAACACTACACTGAGAGTGTATTGAGAATTTCAGGCTCCGCTAAATCAATACTCTGAATGGATCAGGGACCAAAATGTGAAAAACCTGATTTCACAGGGATCACAAGGTGAGAAGCCTGAAATCACCCTGAAATCAGGGTAATTACCCTGATAAAATCAGCCCTGAGTACAGGGATGCAGCACTGCATAGGCATGTCGCACCTAAGCAAGGACTTCAACGACTGGCTGCTTCTACTCTTCAAGCCAAACAGAACCCTCGCCTGCTCCTTTTCCCCTCAACTACCTCATCATATCTTGGTGTGAGTGGGGATGATCACCCTCAACATATAATGTTTATATTGTATAGATTAAGAAAGCTTGCTTTCTGGTTCTTGCAAGGCAACATGCTTCATTTAAATTGGGTAATTACAACATTCTCGTCCCACTGAAACATTACATTACATAGTTATCAACTAGGGGTGGGTGGGGGGGAAGCGGAACTGTAAAGTTCCGAAAATGAAGACGTGGGTGGAGGCCAAATGGCCTCCATCCCTCATTATGTACTTGGGAATAGGCATTCGCAGTTGCCTTGCTTCGATACAGTCAGCTGCGCTTTCATAATACATATTTTTAGAAAGTGTTACACACTTTCAAGAAAAATCATACTGTAGTGGGGTATGTCAGAATCACTGTGCAGGAATGAATGAACTACGAATGAGTTGGGTACAAGTACCGTCATACCCTGGATAGTAGCGCATATGCGCTTATAATAATTTTTTTTTTTTGAGGGGGGGCGCTTGTAATTGAGTAACGGCCATAAGCGCCGGCGCTTTTATAAAGGCAAAACTGAATTTCACTGTAAAAGATATCATTCTGAACCCCTCAATAAGGCGAATACAACACTGAACCATGCGCGCGTGGTCGTGCATGGAATGACGGCGAAACTTGCCGCACAAAACCCGTCCCGAAGCAACGCACGTGCCAGCGCTGATACAAAACCTGCCGTGCAGCCCAATCAGGTTTGCATGCACTGCCAGACAGGAGCATCTCGGCTGAACCATCCAGAACGTGATGGAATTGTTAGAATGTGAGCAAATGAATGACTGAACTAGCAAGCAGGTGGGTACAAGTATGAAACCTAAAAGTGTTGTACCCTATAAGAACTACCCCACTACAGCCTAAACAGACTATAGCATATATGTTTGACACACCCCCATAGGCAAAGTGGGCGAGAACAAGAGGTCACAACACAAGACCAGTCAAGAAAGACAAAGCAAGCTCAGGGTGGATCACAAAGTCACCACGCAGTCTGAGCACAAGCAAATGGCCACAAGGCCAGTTCACATGCAGAGTTATATAAAGGAGAACAAACAATACAGTGAACACAACCTAGCAAGTGTAAGCATGCAGGTATATGTATATAGAGTACAGTACAAGCAGAGTCAAGAAGTAAGCATGTGAGGCACAGTAGGTACAAGGCCTAACACAGTACAGAAACGCTGATGATCACAAGGCTGAAGTGCCTTGGTGAAAACATCAGCAGTGTTGGCCTGAGAGGCGACGTAAGCAAGACGAAGCTGGCCACGCTGCTGCACCTCTCGAGCAAAGAAGTAGCGCAGAGCAATGTGCTTCGTTCTGTGCTCTAGTCTGTGCTCCTGACTCTAGACCAGCATGGCCTTGTTGTCGACGTACAGAACTGGAGGAGAACGAGGCGCCTCTCCCAAGTCGGTCAGCAGGTAGGTGAGCCAGCGTAGCTCCTGTGCAGCCATGGCCCCAGCGTAGATCTCAGCCTCACAACTGGAGCTGAGAACAGAAGAAGAGCGGGTAGACCGCCAAGAGACCCAGGAGGCGTCAGCGTGACCAGTGAGGACAACTCGAGCCCGTCCTCCAAGCACGAGCCCCATGCCCGATGTACTGCACAAGTAGCGCAACACCCTCTTCGCAGCATCCCAGTGCACCTTTCGGTGCCTGCCGGGAGCCACGTAGCGAACCAGAAGGCTGAGAGGGTATGCGAGGTCAGGTTGTGTGCAAGTCATCAGGTACATGAGGCATCCCACAAGCTCTGGATACGGGCCACTCGGCTCTACGGACTCGTCCGAAGGTGGAGCTGAGAGCGATTGACCGGTAGGCAGAGGAGTGGACTGTGGCGAGGAGTACGTGAAGCCGAAGCGCTGAAGGACCTGCTGCACCATGTGTGACTGAGTCAAGGTAATGGTGCGCTGTGCTCTGTCCCGGGTGATCCGCAAGCCAAGATAGCTTGTCAGCTCACCCAGGTCTGTGCACGTGTGTCTCTTCTGCAGCTCGGACTTCACGTGGACGAGTGCCTCAGTGTCAGCAGTAGCAAAGACGAGGTCGTCTACGTACACGAGAACGTAGAACGACGGCAGAGTGGTGTCAGTGCCTAAAAACAGAGAAGGGTCAGAAGTGGAAGGAGCAAAACCAAGAGCAGCAAGAGTCGTCCTGAGTGTGTCGTGCCACTCACGGGGTGCCTGGCGTGTTGGTGCAACCCTACGGTTTGCACTCGGCTTGTTGTCCGTGTGCGTGAATGTGTGTGTGTATGGAATGGTATGAGGGCATGGGATAATATATATTTCATGCTTATAATTGTGTGTGAATGTTGAGTCATGATGTCGAGTGTGTGTGTCGAGTCAATAGCGAGTTATCGCTAGACGCGTGTTACGCGGTCGTTTGTGTCTCGCGCGCGGTTTCTATTTTGTCGTGCGCGGTTTCTATTTTGTCCTGTGTCGAACGTTCGGCGTGTCGCAGGTGTGTGCAGCAGACCCATCAAGAACTCAAGGATGAGTTTGTGATGAAGAGCCCGAGCCTTGGTGTCAAGCCTCAAGTGATTTCGAAGCTCGCCAAAAGGGTACACCTCAAGATATTGAAGATAGTTACATTACTTTGTGTAGTGTAACATTTCACTTGGTGTAGGCCCTAGTGAAGGGTAGTTTCGAGACCCTTCGTGGTTGGGGACAGTGTGGCACTGTTCCACATCACTGTACCTCGGCTCTTGGGGTTTGTAGGAGCTGGGAGTCATTCCCAACTCGTAACTCTTCCTATCTTGTGTTCTAAGACTATAGTGGCTGCCATAGTACCGTTCGTTCAAACCGACGCTGTGTCGTCAATTCGTTATCAAATCGTGCAATCTAAATTGATAATTGTAGACGACGTGAAGACGCTCCAGATCCAATTTGAATCAAGTCATTTGCAGCTGTGAGCAGAACGCTATCAACGTTTGAAGCCGCTGTGCAGAAATCCGTCTGTGCTCTCTAACTTTCGTTTTAGGCACATTCAAGCCTATTGTGACTATAACAAGTGGTATCAGAGCCCCTTGGAGCAGTTTCGACAATGTCTGGACCTGAGGAAAGGGGTGGCAGAGGTGCTGGTGGCAGTGGAGAAGCTCAAGCTCAAGGCCAACCCCGTGATTCAGCCATGGCGCCCATGCAACCAAGTCTTGGCCCACCTAGGGATGAGCCTAGGGTGTTTGGGCTTGACAAGTTCAACGGTGACAACTTTGCTGAATGGTCCTTCAAGATGGAGAACATCTTTGACCACTATGACCTGCTGGAGGTGATGGAAGGAACGGAGAAGCGCCCCGAGAACGACCCGGAGAAGAGCCCGTGGGTGCGGAAGAGCGCACAAGGCTATCTCTTACTTGGGCAAGCGTTGGGGAGCAGTCAGATCCGTCACATCAAGCCATTCCAGCGTGAACCAGAGAAAGGACCAAAGGCATGGGCTGCTCTCAAGGGTGTACATGCTCCTGCAACAGCGGCGGTAGCGGTGGTGTTGGAACGGCAAATGGCGGCACTACGAATTGAAGAAAACGAAGCGGTTGAAGAAGGGGTGCAGAAATTCTTCGACTTGTTGACGCGGCTTGAGGGAGCTGATTTGAACTACAGTGAGCTCCAAAAGAAGACCAAGTTGCTGGCCTTACTCCTAGAGCCATGGTCCTCGCTCATCATCAACCTTAATCGCGACTTGCCCCGCCTCTCGCTTGAAGACGTGAAGCGAGCTATCCTTCAAGAGGATTTCCGCCGCCGTGAGTTGGCGAGTGCGGATGGCGCTGGGGCAGCGAGCATCGGCCGTGGATATGGTCGAGGAAGAGGCAGAGGACGAGGGGGAGGAAGGTTTGGTGGCAGCAACTTCGGCGGAGGCCGCAGGAGTGGCGGTTACGGCAGCGACGACAAGAGCTACGGACGCGGTCGCGGCCGATTCGACGGCGAGTGTCACTATTGCCACAAGAGCGGACACATGTGGCGCGACTGCTACAAACTCCCTGATGGTTGGACCCCTGCTCAAGGCCAAGAGGGTAGAGAAGCAGGAGGAGGGAGAGGACGAGGCCGTGGAGGCCGTGGCGGTCGCGGTGGCGGAGCTGCAAACATGAAGAGCGGAGACAACGACAAGGACCCGAGCGACGATCGATGCCCGGGTCTGTTCTACTTCGTGTCGACGCAAGTACCGGCTGGTCCAGAGAAGGATGAAGGCTTTGAGGAGCCAGCAGCTGTGGGGAAGGTGACCCTACACCCCCTGGACTATTGGGTGATTGATAGTGGCGCTACCTATAGCATGACACCTCGCCCGGACTTGCTCACCGAACTCGAGCCGTCACCGGTGAAGCATGTCACATCGGCTTTGGGGCAGCGA